TCTCTTCTTAGGGGAGCTCAAGCCAACAGCGATCACAGAAGCCCAGCTCCTAGCAAAGGAGAGACCTGGGGCTGACAGATGCCAAAGTGTGAACATGGCTTTGACCAACAGGTTTTCTGCAGATAGCTGCAGGGTGGGGAGCCCTGAGAGGGAGACCCGTGTCTCTAAGGTGGGCTCTGCTAAGCCTTCAGATGGCCCAGATTAATTTCCTCCGGGGACCTGGAGCATCTCCTCTGTGAAGTTGAGGGGTCCACAGCTGCTCACATTTTCTGATTCTTCCTTAGACAGTCTCCTGGGTCCTGGATGCAGGCCCTACTCTGTCCTCTTCAATCCAGGCTGATTCTTTCTGACAATCTACAGCTCCCAGGGCCCGGCGCTCAGCCGTGGTCTCTAGGGGACCATTTCACATTGCCAGACCCGCAGGCCCTGGTTATCACGGTTCTTTGCCTGCCTGGGGTTAGAAAATCACAGGAGGCCAGAGCTGGAGGGATTCATAGTGCTATCCAGATCAGCCCTCTCATTTGCCCAGTGATCTGATGCCCAGAGAGAGGAAAGCACATGCTCAAGGTCACAGAACAGGATGCTGGTGGACCTTAGCCCCCATCACTGGGCCTGAAGCCCTGATCCCTATCCCAGGCTGCCCCCCTTGTCCCTGTCATCTCTTTCCATGTGTGACTGACAGGACTGGGTTCCTCTATGGGCGGGGGCGGGTCTGGGACCACAGAGACCAAGACTTCGCCCAGCTCTGCCTTCTCTGGCCCTTACAGCTGCTGATCCCACACACACGGTACACCCTGCACATCAACACGCTGGCCCGTGAGCTACTCATTGCCCCCGGGAAGGTGGTGGACAGGGTAAGGACTGCTTTAGGGAGGGTGGGGATGGGATATTCCTTCAGTGTAGAGAACCTGGCATCTTGGGTTTCCCTGGTGGCGCAGTGGTTGGGAGTCCGCCTGCCGATGCAGGGGACGCGGGTTCATGCCCCGGTCCGGGAAGATCCCACATGCCGTGGAGCGGCTGGGCCCGTGAGCCATGGCCGCTGAGCCTGCGCGTCCGGAGCCTGTGCTCCACAACGGGAGAGGCCACAACAGTGAGAGGCCCGCATACCGCAAAAAAATTAAAAAAAAAAAAAGAATCTGGGGTCTTGGGGTGGGAGTGGCCCTGTCTCCCCAACCACTATTACCTCCTGCTTCTGGGGCAAGGGCTGTGGTACCCAGGAGTCCCGTTTCCCAGTCCACAGGCCTTGGCATTGAAGGTTTCTCTGAGCTGATACAGAGGTACATGGAACAGCTGAACTATTCCGTCCTGTGTCTGCCTGAGGATATCCGGGCCCGAGGAGTTGAAGACATCCCAGGCTACTACTACCGGGATGATGGGATGCAGATCTGGGGTGCAGTGGAATGGTGAGGGGGCCAGCCCCAGAGAGCTGGGGCCTTGGGGGACAGGAAGGAAGGCTGGGAAGGAGGAAGGCCCAGGGAGGCGTCCACCAGGAGGAGGACCAGACATTAATAGCCCTGGGACCAGGCGGGGGCACTCCTCAGAGAGGGTTGGGGTTCACAGCTGGGATGGAACCCTGTGCACCTTGCAGCTTTGTCTCCGAAATGATCGGCATCTACTACCTGAGCGACGAGTCTGTCCGCGATGACAGTGAACTCCAGGCCTGGGTGTGGGAGATCTTCTCTGAGGGCTTCCTAGGCCGGGAGAGCTCAGGTAAGGGGACCTCGGTTCTGAGGTCCTACCCTCAGGCCACTGCACATTGTCCTCAGGACCCTGGCAGCCCCGTTCCCAGCCCAGCTCTCCCTGCAGGAGTACCCTCCTCCCTGGGGACACGGGAAGCCCTGATACAGTACGTCACCATGGTGATATTCACCTGCTCGGCCAAGCATTCCGCCATCGGTACAGGGCAGGTGAGAAGGGTCGATGCCAGGGTGCCGGGACAGAGGGGTCCGGGCACCTAGCCTCACTCTGCCCTCTCGGCCTTCAGTTTGACTTCAGTGCCTGGATGCCCAACCTGCCACCTACCATGCAGCTGCCACCGCCCACCTCTAAAGGCCAGGCAAGCCCGGAGGGGTTCATAGCCACCCTCCCACCAGTCAATGCCACATGTGATGTCATCATTGCCCTCTGGGTGCTGAGCAAGGAGCCTGGAGACAGAGTGAGTGTGGGGCTGGGAGCCAGACCAGGCCAGCCCTGGGGTAAGGGAGGCGACACTGTTTACCCTCCCTGACCCACACCCCACTGTGCCATCAGACTCCGGTGAGTCTTCCCAGGGTGACACAAGGGCATTGGACATCTCACAAGGAGGGTCAAATGGCCAAATGAGATGAGGCAGAGTCACCCTTAGCTGCAAGGGCAACGTGTGGTATGTTCCAGTGAGGCCGCCCCCTTTAAAACTCTCACTTGAGCTTTTATCCCCGAGAGCTGCCTGCAGTAATCATCACTGTTCAGGGGGAGGGGGCACGGATGAGGCTCAGTCGTAGGCTGCTTCAGGTCCCCCAGGGTGGATGGCTAAGGCGGGTCCCGGCTGCAAAGCAGCCCCTTCACCCAGCCTTGTGTTTGGTTCCCAGCGGCCCCTGGGCACCTACCCGGACGAGCACTTCACGGAGGCGGCCCCGTGCTGGAGCATCGCAGCCTTCCAGAGCCGCCTGGCTCAGATCTCGCGAGACATCCAGGAGAGAAACCAGGACCTGGAGCTCCCCTACACTTACCTGGACCCTCCCATCATCGAGAACAGCGTCTCCATCTAAATCCCTTGGGGAAAAGGGCCCCACATGACATCCCTTTGACCCCATAGCTCTAGGCTACCTGCCACCCAGAAAAAAGGACTCCCCAGAAAACCAGGCCCCCATATGCCCCTGCTGGGTCTGGTGTATCTCATCCCCAATACACCACAAAACAGAAACAAAAAAAACCCCAGAGAATAAAAGCTCATTGGACGACACCACTATGCCTTTTGAAGACTCCAAGCCTCAGAGTGCCTGCACACCCACAGCTCCCTGGAAGGGTACCATAGGGGGAACACAGTCCTGCCCCCAAACCCACTGACCACAGCTGATTGGACCTAATGGTCATGCGGCTCAAGGGCAGCCCTCTTCCAGACTGTCCAGCAGCACAAGGCGTGGCCCACATGAAAACTGCTCGAGAGGTTGATGGTGACCTATGGTCCCAACTTTAAAATGAACAACCCACTGAGAAAGGGCCATGGGAAGCAGGGCAGAAGGAAGACCTACTGCCGGGGACTTGCAGGCAGTGCCCACATATGCTTTCTAAAAAAAACATACCCCGGGACTTCCCCGGTGGCTCGGTGGTTAAGAAACCGCCTGCCAATGCAGGGGACACGGGTTCGAGCCCTGGTCTGGGAAGATCCCATATGTGGTGGAGCAACTAAGCCTGTGTGCCACAACTACGGGAGCCCACATGCCTAGAGCCTGTGCTTCGCAACAAAAGAAGCCACCGCAATGAGAAGCCCGCGCACTGCAAGAAAGAGTAGCCCCCGCTCGCCGCAACTAGACACGCACCAGCAAAGACCCAATGCAGCCAAAAATCAATAAATAAAATAAAAAATAAATATATGCCCCAAAGTTAGACAAGAGCCTTGCATATTATAAAACAGTTTCCATTTCCCGAGACTTAGGCAATATATCATTAATCATAGATTGCCTTCTAGATTCAATTCTCAGTGGCGGAATTCCAACATTTCATACACATTCTTTAATTCTGTTTTTCTTTTTTCTTGTTCTGACTCAATGAGCATCCACTAAGGCCAAAAATGTGTCCCCTTGAATTCACCTGGTGATTTCCATTTGCAGGCAGCAGAGCTTTGGTTTTTCAGTTTCACTAATTTTTATAAAACACTGCAAACGGATGCAATATATATTTGAATAACTGCACAAACATGGCCACTGAAAAAAGCAGAACAACACTTCAGAAAGGGCAACGCCGCCCAGCACACAGCACTGGAACTGTTCATTCTTTATTGAGATTTAGTGTAACCCGAAATGATTCAGAGATATATAGCTGTCAAACTTCTTTGATTTAAAACAATTCCTGCAAACTGAAGCAATAAAGAAGTTTATGGAAAAGAAACTGTGTGCCTTGAGGGATTAAAGAAAGGGTTAAGGGACTTCCCTGATGGTCCAGTGGGTAAGACTCCACGTTCCCAATGCAGGGGGCCCGGGTTCGATCCCTGGTCAGGGAACTAGATCCTGCATGCCGCAACTGAAGATCCCGTGTGCTGCAACTAAGACCCAGTACAGCCAAATAAACAAATAATTTTTTTTAATTTTACTTATTTATTTTTATTTTTGGCTGCCTTGGGGTTTTGTTGCTGCGCGCCGGCTTTTCTCTAGTTGCGGAGAGCGGGGGGGGGGGGGG